CTGAGTTGGCGTTTAAAGGTAATATATTTAGGGTTGTTAATGAAAGAAGATTTTTTTTTAACTCCTGATAATGTGATTCTCCAACTGAGATTATCTATTTTCTAATATCTATCAAAGTGTTTTTTATGTTATCTTTATGTTTTTCAAGTTCAGTACAGGAAATGAATTTATAGTCTTTATCTGGCTTTTCGTAAAAGTGACCGCCTTGTTGATGGAAGCATTTTGAACAAATATAACGTGCACAATAACCTGAAATTGATTTTTTTAAAATAGATTCTTTGGTGATAGCAGGACACTCAAAAACACCAACATACAGGATTTGGATATTACGCTCATTAATATGCTACGAATGTTCATTACAACCACTACCTCGACTAAAGAAACATTTTTTTTTATTACAAAAAATACAAAAACAGAAGTGAATAATGCTCTGATCAATCGAACATAATTGCTTCGCACCTTCGGTGTGAAGCTTATTCTGATCAAATAAAAAGTGAGGGTAACATATGCCAAGCTGACAAAATTCCCCATTGGCAACCTCTTTAACTGCATTCGCATCTATTTCCCAGGTTCCTACCATCTGCTTTAAGCACCGCAAGTTTTCTATACTGTTGTAGCATCTTATTACTCCTCTGAAACTATCGATAATCACACACGATGTTAATTTAAAAATTGGCTTCTCTATTATTTCAATTATTTCATCTGTCTCATTCTGTATGAAAATAAAATTACTAATTATAAAAAATTTTTTTTTTTAATAGAGCTTTAGATCCATTTAAAGATCATCCGGATAACTAATTTGATTGAATGAATAGCGATTCTATATACAAACTTAAACTCGCTCTTCATTTAATCCGGGTATATTATAAGATGAAAATTTTCATCTAAAATTAAAATCAGACAAGTTCAACGAACCTATTAATATTATTTCAAGGTTGACTCATTCAAATCAGCAGAATTTTAGAACAATATGGTTAGAAGTCTTTATAGTTGGACATCAAATGTGTAGTATTGGAAGTAGTCTACGAATAGTTGAAAAACAATAGGATAGATATTATTTATTAATGAGAATAAGAAAATGTACTTAATAAAGCGATTACTTTTCAATAAAATTTATTTTAAATATTTTATTTATCTTTAATTATATTGATAATACATTAATAATAAATAAAGAAGATATAAGGGGAAAAGGGATAAATTAAATATGAATATAAATAAATATAATTGTATTAAATAGTCTCGATTGATCAATTTTTTTATTATTTGAAAAACCCGAGAACGAAAAGTAAAGATAACATTAAATGAAAACTCTAATTCCGCTTTTCTAATCTAGCAAGAAATCGAGCAAGTAAACTACGAGAGCATCATAAAAACCATTTGTCCCTAATTTGCTGTTTATTTACTAAATTCTAGTGGTGCTTGAAAATCTGATAGACAAGTTAGAATTAAGTGTTGCTAAAGAAAAACATGCAAGATTTAAGTTATCACTGTTGAAACACATATACATTCGGTATTCTAATCATTTGGAAACCATTAATATGAACTTAATGATAATAAATGACAAGAACAGGTACTTAATTATGTAATGTCACGGCTGATTATGAAATCGGATTATTGTGAAATTTGGATCTATTTCATGTACGATTTTTAAAATTTTTTG